CTGGGACCCTCCCCTCGGTCCCCTCCTCCGGGCCTGGGACTCTCCCCCGCGACCCCTCCTCCGGGTCTGGGGCCCTCCCTGGTACCCCTTTCTCTAGGCCTGGGACCCTCCCCTCAGCCCCCTGCTGCGGACCTGGAACCCTACCCCGCGACCCCCTCCTCCCAGCCCGAGGCCTGGGACCCTCCCCCTCGGATCAGGACCCTCCCCCTGGCACCCTCCCCTTAGGGATCCTGTGCTCAAGGACGCCACCCGCACCCCACCCACCCACAGCTGGCCCCCAGCTCCGCAGCCCAGGCTGGTCCCGCGCCGCGATCCCCTCACCCCTCACGGGCGCTCCAGGCCCCGGCCCGGCCCCTTTGCTGCTGGGCGTCCCCACGTTTCCGCCCGCTGCTCCCGGGGCGAGCGCCTTCTCGGCACCGCAACCTGGGACCGGTCCGTCCTGCGCGGCCCGCTCACGTTAGTCGGTCCTCCCCATGCGCAGGACCCTCAGCTTTTGGATCCGCAGCGTCTCCTCCCGCGCCCGGCCCCGGCGGCCCTGATGCCCGCGTCTCCCCGCGGCCACCGCGCCTCATCCGCCCGCGCTGCCTTTGTTCTCGCCGCCCCGCTTCGTGCGGAGCAGCCGAACTGCATCCCAATGGCGGCTGGCGGCGGACGGCTCTCCACGTGCGCCCCCGTGCGCGCCCACCCTGATGGCGCGTGCACAAGCCCGACCTCGTGTGCGGAGTGCAGCGTCGCTGGGTTCCACCCCGCAGGCCTCTGGAAAGCGCGCTGCACACAACGCTAGACACCTTGGGTGCTCCAGGGAAACGCAGCATTTTTATGTGCACTGCATGTATGACTCTCACAGGGACATTTCTTAGGACTTCGTCTTAAAAAGCAAAAGATTAGGAACTGAACCCTAAGTGGACACATGGGAGACTAGAGCCAGGACTGTGTTAACGTTACCTGCGCAGCACATACTTCATTAACTGTGTGTACTTATTAGGTGCCAGCTAGTTGGTTCCAACTCATAGCGACCCTATGCGCAACAGAAGGATCCAGTGCCCTGTCCTGTGCCGCTGCCAATCCTTCCCGTTAGGGGCCTCCCTCGTTTTCACTGACACTTCACTTTACCAAGCAGGATGTCCTAATAATGTAGATTTGCTTCACTCCCACACCCAAGGTGTGGGCGAGTGTAACAACCTACGATCTGTGGGTAACATTTTGGCAAATCCAGGACTTGACCATGGCAAGGTGAGGTGCCAGGGGGAGGAGTGTGAATGGTACCCTGACTGCTTTTTATGCTCTGTGTGTGATTCTCTTTCTGAGCTCTCTCCCTCTCTTTTGCCTGTTTCTCATTTCAGGATTCTGTGAGTCACCAGCTCTATTCTGGGGTCTGAAGATAAAGGAGCACTCCCTCCCTCTGAGGAAAGTTAGATCCTTGCAAATGTGGTGTTGGTCAAACCAACGACATGTAGACACCCCCCTGTAACCCTCACCAACTTGTAAATTTTTTAGTTCTCCCGGGGAGCACTGGCCTGGTCAGCCAGAGTGCTCTTGAGTCCCCCGGATAGTCCCATTAGGGGACTCTCAGGAACACCTATACATAAAAGGGGAAGCCAAACCATGACACTAATGTCTTCCAGGGGGCCTAACCCATAAGCACATTTCAGATCAGCTACACCACCACCTACACTGAAATTCTGCCTGTATGCCTAGCTTCCACAGCTCTTCAGCACGCTCTCTTCTTTCTGCTATGAATTAGAATTTGGGGGGCACACTGGACCCCACCAAAAGCCTGGGTTGAATCTTGGCAAAGACCTGTCTCTCTCAGCTCACAGCTCTGACTGCCAAGCCCTGGTGGATCTCCTACATCTGTGCTGTTGTTGTTTCTCCATCAACCAGGCATACAGCCTGACTTTGAGTTTGCAGTGGACTGTTTCTAAAATTACTCTTTTGTAAAACATTTGTGACTTACAGGATTAGGGACCAGGCCTTCTTAGCCATGTTATATCAACTATGGGAGCAGACCCACTGGGAGGAATGAAGGATGCCTGCAATCAGGCCCTGCATTCAGGACTGTTGTTGTTGTTGTTGTTAGGTGCCATCGAGTCGAAACCGACTCATTGTGACCTTGTTGTTGTTGTTGTCAGGTGCCATCGAGTCGGAACCGACTCATAGTGACCTTGTTTTGTTGTTGTCAGGTGCCATCGAGTCGGAACCGACTCATAGCGACCCCATGCACAGCAGAACGAAACAATGTCCGATCCTGGGCCAACCTCACTACCGCTGCCACACTTGAGTCCATCAATGATGCCACCTGGCCAATCCATCTCATTAGGGGTCTTCCTCTTTTTCTCTGACACTCCACCTTACCCAGCATGACACCCTTCTCCAATGATTGTTTCCTCCTAACAATATGTCCAAAGTAGGAGAGATGAAGCTTAGCTATCCTGGCCTCCAAGGAACACTCTGGCTGCACTTCTTCCAAAACAGATCTATGGGTTCTTTTGACAGTCCATGGCACCTTCAGTATTCTCCTCCAACACCACAACTCAAAGGCATCAATTCTTCTACGATCCTCCTTATTCACTGTCCAGCTTTCGCATCTATATGAGGCTATTGAAAACACAATGGCCTGGGTCAGGCACACCCTAGTCCTCAAGCTGACATCTCTGCTCTTCAACACTTTAAAAAGTTCCTGTGCAGCAGATTTGCCCAGTGCAATACGTCGTCTGATCTCTTGACTGCTACTTCCGCGAGTGTTGATAGTTGATCCAAGAAGAATGAAGTCCTTGATAACTTCAATCTTTTCTCCGTTGATAAGAATGTTGTTTATTGGTCCAGTGGTAAAGATTTTTGTTTTCTTGACATTGAGATGTAATCCATATCGAAGACTGTGCTCTTTGATCTTCATAATTAAATGTTTCAAGTCCTCTTCACTTTCAGCGATCAAGGTTGTATCATCTGCATATCGCAGGTTGTTAATGAGTCTTCCTCCAATCCTGATGCCACGTTTTTCTTCATAGAACCCAGCTTCTCGTATTATTTGCTCAGCATACAGGTTGAATAAGTATGGTGAAAGAATACAACCCTGTCTCACACCTTTCCCAATTTTAAAACATTCAGTGTTCCCATGTTCTGTTCGAACAACTGCTTCTTGGTCTAGGTACAGATTTCTTAGAAGTACAATTAAGTGTTCTGGAATACTCATACTTCTCAATGTTGTCCATAGCTTGTCATGATCCACACAGTTGAAAGCCTTTGCATAGTCAATAAAGCACAGGTAAACATCCTTCTGATATTCTCTACTTTCAGCCAAGATCCATCGGACATCAGCAATGATAGTGACCTTAGGCACAGCAGAATGAAACACTACCCCATCCTGGGCCAACCTCACTACTGTTGCCACACTTGAGTCCATCAATGCTGCCACTCTGCCAATCCATCTCACTGGGGTTCTTCCTCTTTTTCTCTGACCCTCCACCTTACCAAACATGATATCCTTTTCCAGAGACTGCTCCCTCCTGACAATATGTCCAAAGTATGAGAGATGAAGTTTGGCCATCCTGACCTCCAAGAAACACTCTGGCTGCACTTCCCACACAGATCTGTTGGTTCTTTTGGCAGGCCATGGCTCCCAGGACTAAGGGAGATTATAGCAGGGCACAGGCCTTGGAAATCAAAGGGGTCTAAGAAGGAGGCCAGTGAGAGGAAGCCACACCACCTCTGTCAAAGTAAAAAGGGGACTGCTTACAGTGGGCCTCCGTCCATGAAACAGTGTGTGAAGCCCCATGGGAAATTCCAAGAGGTGACTCAGGGTGCCCTGACACCTCTCCCTTAGCCGTCTCGAAGGCTCCCTGTTCCTCCTTCCCCTCTGGGTTGTCTCTCTTCTTCTCTCCTCTAGATAACATGGAGCAGGGAGTTTACATTTCTCCCAGCTCCCTGGTGGGCTACTTGCTGAAGTAGTTTGACAGCCTCTGTAAAAAGAACTTGGGTGGTTTTGTTTTTTTTCTGTAACACCACTTGGCATGATTATCAATTGGGAGACCAGGAAACGTGGCCCATAAATGGCAGTCTAAGTTACAATACCATTCTAGAATTAAACATAATTTGTAGGAAGGTAGGAAAGTGATCAGAAGTTCCATATATACAAGCTTTCATGTATCTGAAGGAGCATCCCCAGCTATGTGAGTGAGTAAAGTCCTTTGATAAAGAAAGACCATCTCAAAATCTGAGCAGAACACTGCCACTGACCCCCTGCCCCTGGGGCCTTTACCTGAGTCCCAGAGAATAGACCCAAAACTGC